GCCGGGGGCAGGCCACTCTCCCCGTGCTCGAGGGCCAGAGAGACTCGGGCAGCACGCCACCTGCCCAGCACCCCCATGATGCTCCGGAGCCGGGGAGGCGCTTGCTCCTGTGGTGGTGGTGGGGGGCTGAGCTCCTTGCTGCCTGGCCTGGGTAGAGTGAGGGGCGGGGCCTCAGCCAGAAGGGGCGGGGCCTTAGCCAGAAGGGGCGGGGTTATAAGCTTCCCTCCCCTCACTCTACCCATGCCAGGCAGCAAGGGTATGCTGATTTGATCCATTTAGAATTTCGATCATTCCCCCGCCCAGGACACGGGCTCATCAGAGGCAGGCCCGGCTCCCGTTGCGGGGAGATCTCAGAGCAGGCACCTCCGACTTCCACCCTCCTCCTGACCCTAGGCAACGGTTTATCCTGCAGAGCCTCCGCGAGCGGCCAGCTGCCTTGTAAGTTAACTAAACAAGCCATAAACCCAGCTCAGTTTTTATGGCGCCTGACACCTCCCCGCGGCTGTGAAGCAAGGGGACTTTGGCAGGGCCCGTTGCACGGCCAGCCTGGCGTGGGAAGAGCCGCGGCATTTGTCCCGCGCTGCGGGGAGCCCAGAGAATGAGGAGGGGGCAGGTTGGGGTGCAGCGGACAGGCCGGCGAATAGGCCGGCTACGCGGCAGGAGGGAGATGGGCCTCGTGGGAACAGTGGTGGGGGAGGTGGAGGGCGAACGGGCTTGGAGCCAGAAGGCACATGGTGCCAAAGGCAGGCGGGGGGGGCGAGCTGGGCTGAGACCCACCAAACTCATCTCACACAAAGCTGCAGCCCTGACTTCCTAGTCTGCCCCTGGGCCAGCCCCTGTCCCCAGGGAGACAGTCGTTCCTAAGCCAGGCTCATAAGCAGGGAGCCCTGGAGAGGCCAGAGGGGGGCAGCTGCCCCCACTGGCCTTTCTAAGTCCCCCCCGCGACTGGGTGCAGCCGTTTCAGAAGCTCTCTCCCTGATTCAGCCCCCGCATCTCTATCCATCCTGGGGGGGGGGGCAGAGGGCGCTGGAGGTGAACATCTCCCTTGTCCCTGCTCTCCTCTATGTTTAATAACCTGTTGGTGCCGGCAGAGGGGCTGGGGCCTGCCCCTCCAGCTGCCCCCTCCATTAATCCTGAACCACGGTGACGTGGACGCGGTGCCAGGCGTTACTCAGCACCCCCCGCAGGTTCCAGATGGGCGCCACCGTGTCAGGCTGCACATTGTAGCTGGCGTCCACGGCCTTGCAGACAACGTCCAGCTCCGTGCTGCCGGGGGCCACGGGGCCCGTGAGCTGCCACAGCTGCCACGCCCAGGCCCGGCCCGGCGCCTGCTCCTCGCCCTTCAGCTCGGCCACGTGCCACGTCCGGCCACCATCTAGTGACACGTCCACGCGCCCCACGCCACGCCCGCCCCCGCTCCAGGCGTAGCCTTTGACCGTCAGCTCCCCGGGCGGCACGGCAGCGCCCGGGGCGGGCTCCGTGATGGCCGACTGGACGGGGAGCTCCTGGATGGCGGGGGCTGTGCTGAAATCCACCGTGTCCCAGTCCACGGAGGGCGAGAAGCCCTTGTAGTCGTTCTGCTGCCAGTGGCTCTGGCTCTCCTCCCGGCTCACGGAGATGCGGCCCAGCCACTTGACGTTGCGGGCGCCCACCACGCCCGGCACCCCCACGCGCAGCGGGTAGCCGTGGTCCCGCGGCAGCTCCTCGCCGTTCATCTCGTAGGCCAGTAGCACGTCGCCGTGGCAACCCATGGCCGTGCTGTAGGGGATGGAGGCCCCGTAGGCTGCCCCGCTCAGGTCCTGATCCAGCCCCTCAAAGCCGACGTGCTGCTCCCCGGCCTGCCCCTCCTCCGGGTAGCCGGCGTGTGCCAGGACGTCTCGCAGCCGGGCGCCGCCCCAGCGGGCCGTGCTGAGGGCCGCCACACCCCACTCCAGCCCCTTCACCGGCCGGACACGGTTCATCTCCGAGCGGCGGTTGCCGGCGCACTGCAGCGTGGCCGTCACCTCGTGCTTGGGGAAGCGGCTCTTCAGCTCATGCAGGGAGAGAGCCAGCGTCCGGCCCCGTGGCCCCTCCACCTGCAGACGGTAGCTGGCTGGGTCCACGGCCGGCACAGGCAGGTGGTTGCGTTTGAAGAAGAGCTGGTTGGGCGTCAGGTAGTTCTCGGTCAGCAGTTCGGCCGGCGGCTCCGCATTGAAGGGCTTGAGGCTGTTGACTTTGAGGGCGGGATGCCGAGGGGGGTCCCCGGCGTAGGGGTCCTCCGGGGTAGGCTGGCTCTGCTCCTCGGGGCTCAACTCGCCCACTTTGTAGCCTCGCAGGATCCCCAGCACATGCTCCTGGCTGTGCACGGCGTACATGGCCCAGAGCAGCTCCAGTGCCCCCCCCGCCGCCAGCAGGATCTTGCTCTGGCCCCCTGGGTGCAGCTCCACGAAGTCGGTGATGTCAAAGACCTCGTTCCCGTAGGTCACCCAGACCCGGTCGGCCAGGCTGCGGTGCTGCCCCACCTCCTGGCGGGTGAATACGGGGTACGGTGCCCCTGGTGCAGCCTCTGCATTCGGCTCAGCCTCCGTCGCCTGCAGAGGGACCAGGAGAGGGGTTCAGTGCAGAGCCTCGTGTCTGCCAGCCTCCACCGTAGGCCTCCGAAGGCCTGGCCCTTCACCCGCCTCAGGGGAACAGGGCTCGGGGGGGGAGGGGAGGGGAGGGACATGCAGCTCATCGGAACAAATCTGGGAGTGGATCCAGTTTCCTGGCTCCCAGCCCTGCCCCCCAGCTCTAACCACTAGAGTCCACTTCCTTCCCAGAGCCAAAACCCCAGAGTCCTGGCTTCCAGCCCCCTGCTCTAACCACTAGACCCTGCCTCCTTCCCCCAAACGCCCGTCCAGCTTTGGCGCCACCTTTGTGCTCCGAGGCAGCACTGAGCACCAGCACCCCCCGCCTCCCCGCTACGTCAGGGCCTCCCGCCCCCCGCAGCATGGGCCCCTCCCTGCCCGGCTCCTTCCTCACCTGCCTGCGGTGATTTCCATAGGCCAGGCCAGCACCCAGGCCCAGCAAGGCCCCCACTGCAGTGACCTTCCGTCTCTGGCTGCTGTGGCCAGCGCTCCAGGTGCCCTGAGCACGGGAGGGGGTCCAGGCGGCGCACGCTCGGGGGAGGGACCCCCAGGCCACACCTGCCAACCTGGGGGAGCAACCAGGACTCCAGTGAGAGCAAAATCCCCCAGCAACCTCCCTGCGAGCCATGTACCACTCCTGGCCCGCTTCCAAGACAGCTCATTATCTTCCGCCTCCCTAAAATAATCCCTGTAATTTTAGCCCAACCCAGGAGAAAGTTCACCTCCTTTGCTAGGCCACCCCTGCAGCGCGGCTGTTAAACAGCTGCCACCTGCCACCCCAGAGGTGGCTGCACTTCAGCCTCCAGCCACTGTCAGGGGAGCTATTCCCTAAAGAGCGGCTTTCCCCAGCAGCAGGTGGAACATTAACCTAAGGGAGAGTTCCTCTGCCACAGATCTGATAAGATAACATCAACTGCAGGGCCATAAAAAGGATCTCCCCTGCCAGATAAAAGGCTCCTGCCCTGGGTTGCCACCAAGCAGCAACATGGCAGGGGGGCTGCAGAGACTAGATTAGAGCCGCTGGGTAAAATCCTTGCAAGGTGTCAAAGCAGTAGCTGCCCCAAAGAGAATCCCAAAGGAAATTCACTCTCATTTCCGCCCTCCCTTCCCTTTCAAGCTCCTAGGGGCTGCCGGGCAGGACTCAGATTCACCAGCGGAGCGGTCTGTGCCACTGGAGGGTGGCAGTGTTGGGGGGAGCCCAGGGCTGGGCTGGCAGGGGCTGTGGGTCGGGAGCAAGGGGCATTGGCAGAACTGGGAGCCCAGGGCTAGGCTGGCAGGCACTGAAGGGCAGACTTGAGGGACACTGGTAAAGCTGTACTGGGGAGCCAGGGCTGGACCAGCAGGGGAGCTGCTATGATTTCTCCCCCTGAGCATCCCTGGCATCAGCGCCTCCCCTACCTAGGCGTACTCTGGAGGACCCAGAGACCTCTCACGATGGGTCTGAGCAGCAGCATCTCCGCCGAACCTGCGCAGGGAGTGAAAGGACAAGAGATAAATGACTTTGCCTCAGACTCACAAACCCTGAGGTGCCCAAACTAGCCAGGCAGGGAGAGGGGGAGGGGGTTCTATGTGACATGCAACAGCTCTGCCCTCCTGCCACTCTCCTGGGGGCAGGTATCCCAGGCCCCCCGCGATGATCATCTGCCAGAAGGGTCCAGCTCAAACCCGAGCCCGGCAGCCAGGCGCCACATCCCAGAGCAGTCAGCAACATGTGGCTGGCTTGGGATCATCCTCCTCCTGACCCCACATCTACAAAGTAGAACTGGGCTGCTCCCAGCTGCTGCAGAGCAGCCAAACGGCACATCAACAGGAACCAGGAGGTCCTGGAAGCTGTTCAGTCAACAGGTGTAACAGGTAGCCAAGCCCAGCTCCACTGTGGCAGTGTTCTCAGCCTAGGACCGGTCAGGCCACGGAATAGGTTCAGATGCAGCCTCCTGGGTCGTATTTGCCTGGAGTTTTTAGGCCTCGTTTTCCAGTCCTGGAAACCCAGAGTGGGGGAAATAAACTTCCTCATACTGCTCCTCTCGTTTGAGCAATTAGAGGGATTAAAAACCCTTGGGGATGGGAGCAGGCCATGTCTCCTAGCAGGAACCATCCCTTCCATTCCAAAACCCCAGTGCAGGGACCATGGCACTGCACAGACCACCAGCAAGAACCAGCTGTGGCTCTGGATTTAAAGGCAGGAAGAAATTCCCCCCTTTCACCTTGTGTTCAAACATCTCCAGGGGGCAGGGGATTAAGGCACTGGATCTTTGCCTAGATGGAGAGGAGGCAGGTGGAGAAGTCAACACCCAGTTCTGGGCATCCAGCTGACTTAGGATCCATCCCAGCAGGAGGCAGATGCCCCATTGGGCCAATGGATGATGGAAGAGTGGGGGGATCTAGTGACAGGGGCAGTGATTTCTTTGCATCTGATCTAAGAATCAGAGTAAAGAGTAGCCTGGCTACAGGCAAGTGCCTGGATCAGCCCATGTCCGAGCTGGACTTGGCATCCCCCCAGGAGGGAAAGGAACCATTAAAGATTCACCAAATGCAAGTCAGAGAACAGGCCTGGAGCCAGGCTGCCCTGGGGTGAGGAGGAATTTGGACCATCTGTGCCCAAATGGCCAGGCTATGCAGAGTCACCCCTTCCCAGAGCTAGCCCCACATACACCCAGGGGGGTGATGCCTCAGGGGCCATGTTCCCTCTTAAGTTTGTCCATCCATGGGTGGAATAAATTTTGTTCTCTGTGCCCAGGCAGATGTGCACCACCAGGAGGAACCCACCTGGGTGGCCACCCAAGTGCTCCGCTTATAGGGACACTGCCCCGTGGCCAGGGGGAGGGAAGGGGGCGGGG